GGAGAGAGAGACCTCCACAGGTATGGCCACAGGCTGCTCCCCGGGGCCTGGGGCCAGATGGGCTGCTAGGCAAGAGCCACCTGCCTGCCCGGGCTCACCTGGGAGCCATGGGCTTCATGGTTGAGCATCCATCTAGTCTCTAATGCCGTCACCTGTTTTCTTCATAATTGAAATTCTTCCAACTATTCATCCACGCCCTTTGCTATGACAGCAAAAGTGCTGACTTTTTTTTTTTTCTTACTCTTTCTTTTCTTTTCTTTTCTTTTTGGTTCTAGGGATTGAACCCAGGGGTGCTTTACCACTGAGCTACCTCCCCAGCCCTTTTAAATTTTTTTTTTCTTTTTTGAATTTTGAGACAGGGTCTCCCTAAATTGTTGAGGCTGGCCTTAAACTTGTCATCCTCCTGCCTCAGCCTCCTGAGTGCCTGGGGTCGCAGCTCTGTGCCACCACCCCTGTTGCTGGATTCTTAGGTGGTTTCTTGCTGAGATGAGTCACCTTGCACACAGATAGATCACTTGCCCATGCACACGTGTTTCTGAGCTACATTCCTAGACGAGGAAGTGCTGTGGCCAAGGGTAGGTAGGATTGCAATTGGGGTATTTTTGCTGAATTGCCCACTTAGTCATCCTGACCTGCCCTCCCCCCATGGTGGCTGCCTTTACTCCTTGAGCACCGCAGGAAGTGCCTGACACCCAGACCCCTGCCCCAGGCACTGGGGATGGGAGTGCTGGGTGCAGAGCTCGTGCTCCTGGGCCCTCAGGGAGATGGGTCCTGTCTGAGGCAGGAGATGCACCTATTTTTCTCGGTTCATCATTTGTCCTTTAGGTTTTTTTGCAGTGCTGGGGATGGAACCCAGGGCCTCCCACAGGCTAGGCAAGCGCTCTGCTGCTGAGCCACCCCACAGCCCTATTGTTCTTGATCTTAGCTTTGCAAAGGCCACCCACATTCCTTGTGATCGCCTGTGTCTCCTCTGTCCCAGACATCTGTGCCTTCTGCCACAAGACTGTGTCCCCCCGAGAGCTGGCCGTGGAGGCCATGAAGAAACAGTACCACGCACAGTGCTTCACCTGCCGCACCTGCCGCCGCCAGCTGGCCGGGCAGAGCTTCTACCAGAAGGATGGGCGGCCCCTCTGTGAATCCTGCTACCAGGTAACCCCTGAGGCAAGCCTCCAGCTGTCAGGCACCAAGCTGGGTGCTTGGGAGATGTTATATTCATTCCCTACAATACTCCTGGGTAGGCCCATTTCACGGATGAGGAAGCTGAGACTCAAAAAGATGGAGCTCAGCCATGATGAATTAGTTTCCTGGAGCTGCTATAATGTGATGGTCAGCTTTCCATCACTATAACAAAGCACCTGAGATGATCAACTTATAAAGAGAAAAGGTTTATTTTAGCTCACAGTTTTCCAGATCATGATCAGTTGCCCCTGCTATTTTGGGTATGTGGTGAGACAGCACATCATGGTGGGAGCATGTGGTGGACTAAACCACTCACCTCATAGCCAGGAAATAAAAGAAGAGGAAAGGGTGCTGGGACTGTGGCTCAGTAGTAGCACACTTGCCTGGCATGTGTGAGGCACTGGGTTCAATTCTCAGCACCAGGTATAAATAAATAATAATAATTATAAAAGGTCTAACACAACATTTAAATATATATATAAAGAAGAAGGAGCCAGTATTCCATCTTGCAACATAAATAATTCATACTGAT